AGCGTCTCCAGCGTCTCTGTACGTGGCCCCTCCCACCAGAGCAGCACAAATGAAGACTTGTCTCTTTCCAAACGCTCTTAAAGGACGATCGTTTTGACTGTTGACCGTGACACCCTCATCAGAAAAATGTCACAAATGAGAAAAGTGGAGCCGAGTGCAGGATTTTCCAAGAAAAACTGACTTATTCCTGTTTGCATACAAGTTCATGTTAAAACTTTGTGTTGAAATTTAATTTTTCTTCAAGTTTCAGGTTGTTCATAATATTATAATAAGAAACAGTTCATCAATTAAAAAAGATTTCTGTAATAGATTTGTGTTTCTCTGCACAAATATTTGAACTTATTGTTATTTTTGGGGTTTATATGACATGAGTTTTCTGATCCGGCCCCTTTGGGATCAAAGTAGGCTGGATACGGCCCCCGGACCAAAATGAGTTTGACACCCCTGATTTAGATCATTTCAGCCCTGGAATTGCCAATCTCTACTGAACTAAAGGTAAAATGTAGCTGTTAAGTGGAAAGCTACCACTGCATGACATCACAAGGTGGAACGCTCCCTCCAAATTTAACAGATGTTTATGTATAGGATATTCTAGAGACTATATTCAGAGTTATCCATCCATCCATTTTCTTCCGCTTATCTGGGGCCGGGTCAGTCTAAGCAGGGACTTCCAGACTTTCTTCACCCCAGACACTTCCTCCAGCTCCTCCAGGGGGACCCCAAGGCGTTCCCAGGTCAGCTGAGAGACATAGTCCCTCCAACATGTCCTGGGTCTATATTCAGAGTTATATTCAGTTAATTTCAGTTGACTTTATTAGTGCATAGCAGGTAGCTTTGTTTTGCAGCAGTTTTCAGATCTGGCATCAATACACAGTTACACAGACACATAATAAAAAATTCAGACATTCAGACAGTGAAAGTTTGTAGTTTTCTTTACTTAGCACTGTGCAGGACTGTTATGTAAGAACCAAACGCATTTGAGGATGTGAGACTTGACACAGGACACAGGCTGTGTATGTTTACTCCAAAGTTAGTAATGAGTTGAGTAGGTTTTTCAAGTGCCCGACCTCAAGGAAGAAGGAAAAGGGAGGGTAAAAGGAGCTGCTACTAGCTTCTCAAATATTAAAAGTTATGTTTATGGTAAATAGTCACACTTTTATATAGTGCTTTTCCACCTTCAAGGCACTTCAAAGCACTTTTTACATCAAGGAACCACTCACCCATTCACACACACACTCACACACCAGTCTGCGCAGATACTGTGTATGGATTTTGTAAGACCAAAGTACAACAACAACGCAAGGATATCAAACTTAGCTTTAAATTTGTTTCAGGAATCTGAAGCTCACAAATATTGATTATTTTGACTTGTTAAGAGAAGAAATGTCAGTTGAACATATCACAAAAAAATAATAACAAAAATATATGTTGTAGTAGTCATTTTATTAGCAAGCGACTAGTCACAATCAGTTAAAATCTTCTTCAAATCTCTTCAAATCAAAATACAATTCTTATTTCAAGCAATGAGATCATATTACGTCAGTGATAAGTAGTCCTGTGGATAACTATTCTATGTGAGCATGGAAGTGTATGATTTATCATTGGCCAAAGTGACGCGGAGAGGTCATATTTTGAGAGCCGCCCGCATGGGGAAGTTACAACAATGAGCTGTGCGTGAGCTCACAGTTCCTGAAGGTCCTACTGTTGACCAGGGCCATAAACAGACACTTCCTCCACACGCTACTGTCCAACAAGTCAGGTCTAACAAGCCCAAGGAGTTCAACCAAGAAGCAATAAGCATACGCAACTACTGTCATCGATACATGTGAACTTTTGATACTTTCCAGCAGATGTCATCCATATTCTCTGGCATATTCTCTGCTAACTGAAAGCACTGCTCTGTCAGAAGCTCTGTTACAGTTAGTCTTAATCTGAGCTGTATTTTAACTCAATCTGACCAGGAAGAGTTGACGTAGTTGGAACTACAATAGGCGAGAGGATTTGTGCGCTTAAACAAGTCACAAGCACATAACGTTACTATTGATCACAGGCTCCATTTGATTTTTGTATTTTTTCTTGAGTTTTCAGAGCTTTAATCTTGATTGTCAATGTTTGGCAAGGTGTGCATTAGGGTGCATCATTTGCCCAACTTTTTAAATTAAAAAAAAAAAATCTATCTGTACCTAGAATACATTTTTTACACTTGCCAAAGTAAAGTTCCATGAGAAATTTTATGAAATTATACTGATGTTTACTGGGTCCACCAAGCCTCTGAAATTTTGTGCCTGTGGAAGCCTTAAATCTGAGCTGAAAAATCAGTTTTTCTTTAATAACATCAAAAATAATTAATTTAGCCCTATAATATAAATGGAAATTGAATAGAAATATGGACATTGTGTATCGTTTGGTACCAGTTTCATGTCTCTGTCATCAATAGTTTTTCAGCTATGGCAAAAGTGATATTTCTTTGGTGCTTCAAGGACTTTGAATAAGCAATAGGTTGTGAATTGTAACAAATGTAGGGCCTCTAACAGATTATGTAACTTGAAATTAACAAATTTAGAACTCAGACTTGAAATTGTGAAAAGTAAAATCTTGAATGCAGGTATAATTATATTATGACTGTCCATTATCAGACGTGTGCACTGTGTCCTACTTGTCAAAGCATCAATAAGAAACTCCATCCATCCATGCATTTTCTTCCGCTTATCTGGGACCGGGTCGAGGGGGCAGCAGTCTAAGCAGTGACTCCCAGACTTCCCTCTCCCCAGACACTTCGAACAGCTCCTCTGGAGGGACCCCAAGGCTTTCCCAGGCCAGCCAAGAGACATAGTCCCTCCAGTGTGTCCTGGATATTCCCCGGGGCCTCCTTCCAGTGGGACATGCCCTGAACATCTCCTGAGGGAGGCGCCCTGGAGGCATCCAGAAGAGATGCCCGAGCCTCAGCGACCCCTCTCAATGTGGAGGAGCAGTGGCTCTAGTCCGAGCCTCTCCTGTGTGATTGAGCTCTCTAAGAGAGCGCCCAGCCACCCTGTGGAGGAAACTCATTTCAACCGCTTGTATCCGTGATCTTGTCCTTTCAGTCATTACCCAAAGCTCATGACCACAGGTGAAGAGAGGAACATAGAGTGACCGGTAAATGAATTTGATTTGCCTTTCAGTTCAGCTCCCTCTTCACCACAATGGTTTGATACAGTGATCGAATCACTGCAGAAGCTACAAGAATTTTATTTTTTTTTTTTACAATTCTTAATAGATATGCATTAATCACACTGTCTACATCTTTCTCTTTCTCAGGTTTGGTGTTTCCTTTCTGTATGCTTCAACCACCTGCAGAACATTCTGATAATGTTCTTCTCCTCCAGCAGAGCCAGTGTAGTCTATGCTGAGCTTGAGCTGAGTTTTATTTATCATTTAGTTATTTGTGATTTAGTTTGTGCATTCCAAGGTGAACGTGTCTTCCTGGTTGATTTGGTGAGGAGGCCAGGTTGAAACTATTCTGATTCTTCAGCCGGTTTCACTTCTTGGAAACCGTCTGACCTCTCAGCATTAGGATTGGTTCGGTCGATGGTAGGCGGGTACTTTTTTTTATTTATTTAACCAATCGCTGCTATTTGTTAGTGACGTATGTAATGCACCGCTAACAGGGATAAGTGGTGTATTAAGCTTTTCCCAAATCCTGTAGGAAGAAGGGAAGTAACGTCTTTCCCCTTGATAAAATTCACCACATTCACAATATTTTCTTTGTTCTCAATCTCGGAAATTGTTGGCAACACAGAATGTATGGCTCTTTGCTGATTGGCCAGTGCCTGGTCTACAACTTCCGGAGTTTTTGCAAACTGTCTAGTGTATTCCAATTCCTGACCTAGTCACTGGAGAGAAATGAAATTGAGCAGAGGCACTAGGTGGCACCAGCCTGGCTAGGTTGACACACCAGCTATGAGGAAAACAGCTATAGAAGATGAAAGATGTACCATGAATCAGGTCCCACCAGGTCTGCCAGTGTTGTCTCCTGGGTTACACTTTCTGGAAACTTGGGTTTAGCAAACCCTGAGCCATACCTGTCATTGGAACGCTATGGGTGACATCACACTCACTTCACTTTTTTTATGCAGTCTATGATCAGTACAGAAAGAGTACATACTTTATGTCTCTCATTTCATCTTTGGTCTTTGTGCATATTGGATAATTACAATAAAAACAAAAAACAAAACAAACACTCAAAATCTTGATGAAATTGTCATATCTTAGAAAGTTATGAAGATATATATAATTGGTACCAGAAGATGCGGAATAGCCACATTTATATTCAACTTTCATTGACACCTTTGCTCTAAATGTATTATTTTTAAAGTTATTTGAGAAAAACAGATTTTTCTGCCAGAGCCTTATGGACGCCATTAGGATGGAACTTCAGAGGCTCGGTGGACCCAGTAGATATTTTTCAATTGAGCTAATATTCCACAGTTTTTCTTTTATTTGGTATTGTCACATTTTAAAATTGGGTACAAGTTGAATTTCTGACATTGGGACAAATGATGCCCCTTAGTGTGCATTGTGTCTCCATGGTAACTGCCTAATATTTCACCATAGAAGTACATATAGAACCCCTGGTGTGATGTCGCTGAAGAGTATCTGTAGGCAACCTAGTATTGTTATTATTCTGGGACTTTTGCAGGTTGATAATGCTGATCTTGGAAATATGAAACCAACTTGAAATACTTTGAGTCAAAATCTAGGACAGCCACTTAACCAGGACTGTAAATAAAGCTAAACAGAATGAACAGTATTTTCCATTTGCATTTTGATGCTTAAATTAATTGGTCTGGTGAAGTTTTTGCAAATCACTGCTCGATCAATATTGGCTCAGGTTTCAACCTCCCTCCCCGATAGAGACAAGCCCTTTGGTAACCCGTGCCATTCCGTGGATTTAAGCGCGCTCCACTCCGGGTTTTCCAGCCAGCCTCTGTCTCGTCCCACTCACACGCGCACACTGCCAGAGCGCGGCGTTGACAGCCACTGGCCACTGATCAGCCCACTTTGTCGGGGTTTGTGTCTCCATGCTAGACCTCTAAAAAACACGCTCCAACTCACTGTACGCCTAAGCCCGTCCACGGCAGCACAGTTTAAAACTTTAAACAAGGAGAATCTCAGTTGTTTTTTGAGTCTTTTGTCTCAGCTCTCACTGCACGATGTCCGGAGAAGACGCACCTGTTCAACAGCAAAACGCCGTGGACCAGAAACAGGAGACCAAACCGGCGGAAGAGCCAAAGTCTGAACCTGCCAAAACTGAAGCTGCCGAGGCAGCAGCTACCCCGGCAGCCGCCCCAGAGAAGGCCCCCGAGGAGGAGACGTTCACGTACCGCGCGCTGGTGCTCACCGGGTACGGGGGTTATGATAAAGTGAAGCTGCAGGTGAAGAAAGGAAAGCCCGCGCTCAAAGCCGGAGAGGTCCAGGTGCGCGTGAAGACATGCGGGCTGAACTTTGCGGATCTGATGGCCAGGCAGGGGCTCTACGACCGACTGCCCTCCCCGCCTGTCACCCCCGGGATGGAGTGCGCGGGGGTCGTTGAGGCAGTGGGCGAGGAGGTTACCGACAGAAAAGTAAGCACACAAAGCCCCTGTACATTAATCATTGAAATCCTAGTGTTCAGTGATGGAGATTCTCATTTTGGTTTAAGATGAGAGGCTCCAGTCTGGACATGGGCGTGTCACGCGCTCAGACAGACAATGTTCAACGATCAAAAAACAGGTCAATGATTTAAAATGGGTTAATTATCAATAATAGTGCAGGTATCTCATATTCAGTAGCAGGGACTGAGATGTTAATACGTTTTTGTTGTATAAGTCTAGTGTTTCATCCATTCACCCGTCTCAAAGAAAGACGAACACTTGTTGTCTCATTGAACCCTAATGGCACAGGCTGGGTGGTATGTTTAAGGACAGTTTTATTGGTCTGAAATGAGAGCAATAGTATTCAAGTGTCTTATTAGTGTGTTTAGTGAATCACAATGGGAAACAGGCGTCGCCCCTCTGGTCTGTTTTTACATTGTGGCGCCTTTACGCACAACATTGAGCAACTTGAATCAATTCAGGCGAAGAAGTTGCCAACATAAAGTGGCTTCTCTGACTGTGTGTAACATAACATCGTGTTGCAAGTTTAAATGTTTGAATAAACACACAAAATCGTGGGATGTGATCCACCCTCGCAGTGGCACAGAGCGCTGCACTTTGATGTGCGGTGCGTCAAGGCAGAAGGAGCTGGCCACGAGGAAACCGGAAATCTAATACCCGAGTCTCAATATGAAAGCGTCAATATCCATTTTTAAACGATCTAAGATTGCGATAGCCTGGTTTAAACTGTGTTATAAAAGACACTCATGGATACATGGGCCCTTATGTAACTGTAGCCATGGAAACCCTTTTGAATGAAATGGACAAAGGTCCATTACACGTCCCTTAGGAAATAACGGGCTCTAAGGGAGTTTATTTTGAAAGTCCACGCTTGGGCAACTGTGTTTGGATGCATGGTACTTGACACCGGTGACAAAGCGGAGTTACCGTCGCCTTTTGTTACCGGGAGCGACGGCGCTGTCGTGCGCACGCGGAGGAAAGGGCGAGGCGCGCGTTCTGACCGCGTGCTGAGAACTGTGGGCGCGTTCGCCCTCTTTGTTGTCAGATTTGGTCTGTCATGGTCAGAAAATGTTCAGACTTCACAAAAAGCCACATCTTTAAGTGCTTTGGAGACATTTGTCCAAGTGAAACCAACAATGACCATAAAACACCAGAGTATTGTTTGGTGCTAACCACGAGGAATGGTGTGGTCACTCCGCTGTTTGTCCATCATGATGAGTCACGCAGCGAGGCGCTGTCTGATGGCTGCATGGCATCTCCATGACAACGCTTCTGCTAATTGAACTAATGTTACACTTGTACCGTGATGACTCACACGGCTGGATCACTATAGTTCACACTTTAATATCTGTTCCTGGATTACACCTCGCTGCTCACGTGGTCCATTTGTGAAAGTGTGAATGTGGCTCCTGTTGGGAGTGGCACTCCGCTCATGAGGAGGCAGGAGTGGACTCAACTATTCTGGAGGGCGGAATGATGCTTTCCTCCAAGATGAGTTTTTATTCTCATTCACCACTGTCACATATATCGGTCTCTGATGTCAGGTGCAGACCACAATTTAAAGGTTGTTCTTTCCTTATTTGATAAGATGATGAGTAATCAATGCACACTGGCATAGGGAGTGGCTCAGCCAATTGCAAATCAGGGTCTGTGCCCTGTGCGTTGTCGATAGTTTGTATAAAGTGGCACTTTGAGTATAGACAGACTATGTAAAGGTCAGGTCTGACAGATACAGGCAGCATCCAGCTGTCACCAGCATCACTCCCACGTCGCCTCCAGACGAGCCCATAAAACCAAGGGCCAATTTCCCTAATGGAGGCAGATCTAAGATCTTTTGGCAGCAGCCTCAGAGCCAATGTGCTGACCCCGATGGCACAGGCTTTTCAAGAAGGCCAATCTCTCTGTGCTGGCTGCCCACTGCACACTGACATAAATAAGTCATGGGTGTGTCTAATACTCAATACTCCAGTGAAAACTATGAATGCCTCTTCATTAGATAAAGTAACATAAACAGCGAGTGCTCTAATGTGATTGACATTAATTTCTTCATACTGATGTCTCAGTGAACCTTGACTAATGGACTGTAGCAGCCTTTGGGGACTCCCATAGAGAACAATGGAGTCTTTGGTCTAAGGAAAATCTTTTTCATCCATAAGATGTCCATCATTTGTGATTCTGCTCTTTAGAGTCGGTGACCAGTGCATATGGGAAACATGGATAGTTATGTAGCATAGTTAAGTTATATTCAATAAGTAAAATAAAAAAGAAAGATACAGTGGCGTTACTATTTGATTTTTACACTGGAGCTTATGCCACGTGGGTAACCAGCAAAAGATATAGTTGTTATTGAGTTAAGCAACGTGTGGCTTAACTGTGGAGTAATCTCAAATACATGTGGTAAAAATCTTCATTCCAGCTGCTATTTGATCCAAAACAACTTGCTCAGTGTAGCAGAAGAAATGTAATTTTGATTTGTATTATTACATTTTGCAGTAGTTCTGGTAATGTCATTGTAATAGTTAGCAACTGTCCATTACTTATTAAGCACCAAGTTTTTTAAACATTATCATTTTCTCTGTTAAGATGATCATATAGAAAAACTCAAAGTGCAGCTTGCCTACATTACATCCCAAGTGCGACTCAACACTTTTGATTAATCAAGTCTAATATTGGTAATTTATTACTCACAATAACATCCAGAGGAGAAAAAAAAACTGACATCATATGCAATTACATAATTAAACTGTTTCATATGGACCCAAGGAAAACATTTGGGTAGTCTATAATTTTAAAGTTTCAGTACTGTCCTGTAACCTGAATTGACCCCAGTGAACTAGGAGTGGAGAGAGAGAGGGAGAGAGAGAGGGGTGAGGGAGGGGTCAGAGGGGTAGAGAGGGAGACGGAGAGGGAGAGGAGAGTGAAACGGGAGAGAAAGAGAAAGCGAGGAGGAGGGGCAGAAGAAGCCGATGAGAAATGGAGAGAGAGAGAGGGAGCCGGGGAGATGTTGGGATATGAGGAAGGAGGGAGAGAGGGGCAGTGGTGAGTTTGATGGAGTGAGGGATAGAAAAAAAAATACAAAAGGGGGAGAGAGAGAGGGAGTGGGTGGAGGGATACCAGTAGCGAGGAAAATGTGTAGATGGATAGAGAAAGAGAGAGAAGAGGAGGGTAAGAGGGGGAGGATGGGTGTAGGGCAGAAGAGGGGATTGGGGGAGAGGGAGAGGATGGAAAGACACAAGAAGTGAGATAGAGAAAGAAAGAAGAGGGGATAGTGGGAGGAGAGAGGGGAGGAAAGAGAAAAGGGGTATGCTGTTATACACTTAAGGAAGGAAAAAGGTGAGAGGGACAGAGAGAAAGTAGGGAGCATTAGAGGAAGGAAGAGAGAGAGAGGAGTCAGAGAGATAGATGGGTAGATAGATGGAGGGGAAGAGAAAGAAGAGACGGGGAGAGGTAGTGACTGAGAGGGGGAGGATTCGGGGGCGGAAGAGAATCGAGGAGGAACAAGAGCCAGACAGACAGACGAAGAGGGAGGGAGAAAGTGAGAGTGAAGGGGTGGTGGAGGGGGAGGAGGAGGGATAGGGAGGACAGATCAGAAACATCACACCAGTTTCCCCTGACGCCTTCCATCAGCAATTTTCTTTTATTCTCTTTCTTTTCTGGAGTCCACGCTTTGAGTTCTGGAGCGCCCTGACCCATATGTTCTCAATTACCTCCCCACGACCCACATTGTCAGTCTGGTATTTCCTTTATTCCTGCTTCCTCTCTCTGTTTGCTCATCATACGGTCATAACTCATTATTAGACACAATTTTAAATAGGTCATTACGTGTCGCAAAAATGCAAAATTACTTGTAAAAGGATGTAATTAAAGGAGACGTTGAGCTACATTAACTTTAACATGCTATAAACTGCTATAAACTTTGTATTTTGATTGATTCATGCATGTTGGAGTAATTCTGTATTGTCTTGCTTTTGTGACGTAAGAACTCAGAAAATTCCTGTTTTCATCGATCCCGTATCCCCACCCACAACCCTGTACTATTATTATTCAGAAAAAAATATTAGACTCAAAAATAAGATTAGGACTAAAATTAGGATTAAGGACAGGAAAATTGGGGATGTTTACTTGTCCAGTGTGTAGCTGTTATTTATCTCAAGTAACCACAGAACAGTTTAAATAATTAAACTGTGAGGTTGTGTTGTTGATGCCTCTTGGACAGGACTCCCTTGAAAAGAGATCTTTTAATCTCAGTCTTACTTTCCTGGTTAAATCAAGGTTAAAAAAATAAAAGTAACAAATCAATCAAACATTATGAGACTTTCTTTGTCAACCACGACTATATTACATCAGTTTATGTCGAAACCTGATATTTGTCACATTTCATCAGATGTTTGATGACCATTGTCTTATCCAGCAAATTTTTCAGTGTCAGTGCCGGTATTCTAGACCACTGGGTTAGTGACTCACTCAATGTCATGCAATTTTTCAACAACTTGCAAAAATGAATTGAGGATGAGATGAATTGGGAACTGTCTGTACTTGAACCTTTGACTCCTGACCTGGGTTCTGGTTGGGTCAAAGGACAAAACTGCTTGTACATACAGTGTAATTTTATGAATAAATATCCCTAATTTAGTCCTATGAAATCTGATGCTAATTTGTGGTAATATTAGATTTTATTGTCATTGTTTGATAGAGCAAAACTGCAGCAGTAAAATTTTATATATATATTTTTTAGAATTTATTATAGTTTATACAATTACTTCTCTGAATTGGAAGGAGATAAAACAAAGGTCAGAACATGTGATCTTGGTGATAACATAGCGAATAGACGATACTAATAGAGCGATCATTTAGCAGATTAAATTGAATTACAGTCTTAAAATGTGCAAAAAATAATCTTGCTATTTTCACCTTGTTTACAACATTTTTCAGAATGTGATTAGAGACCCAAATCTTTTAAGTGTACTGAA